TAGGGCTTGTTTTGTAAATTCCAGAACCTTAAACTTGGATTTTTAGGTACTGTGTTGGTATTTACGGGTTTAACGGGCCACGAAATTATTATTTTAACACCCGTTACTTATTCTTATGGCCGATTAATCTTTTCTAAGCATTTATTGGCTCGTTCGCAGTACGGATACTAATGTGATTTATTTAACGACATTGTTAAATATAAATAGTGTTATTATCGTATTTAATGGTATCAAACATTACTGTTAAATTAAATAAGGCCATGGTTTTAATCAGATAAATTATCCATGATATCTTATAGGATGTTCATACTGTTAATTGATATATAAACCATGATTATTATGCTGTGTGCATTTCAGGAAATAAATGGACTGTTTAATTATGTCGCATTTATATTATATGGATGTGTTGCCATATAGAACCATATGAGCTGGCTAATAAGTTTTGACTCATTTATACCTTATGCATTCGTTGCGATAGACAGATGTGTGGCTGTCGGGGTATGTGGTTTAATATTATTGGCATGTGTTGCCTAATTGACATACTCGGTATATTTATTAATATTGTTGGCATGTGTTGCCTAATTTATATGCTCAGTATATTCATCAGTACTTTGCGAGGTGTTATCACTGTGTAGTTCGCTATAGTCTGTGTTGTCAGTACCGTGCACCATGTATAATAGCTGATTTCCCGGGTAGGGAAAGGCGACACTTAACCACCTAGTGTGAGTCTAAGTGATCACCGTCTATTCTGGTTGAGGTCATGTTATACATCGGATAGTTCCCGTAGGATGTATACAGATATAGTACTCATCCGATTCATAATGATTAATTTATTTGATTCTCTGATTTGGGTCATAGTAGAGAGGACTTGCTCGTGGGGTTGACCCACCATTGTTGTTATTTCAGGATACGGTCAGTATCCGTTTCAAGGCTGAGGTTAGCAGTGTGGGACCATCATCCGAACTCATCTACTCTTACAATCCAGTGCAGGGTAGAAGTTTTATGTAATACTTCAGTTTCAGTTTTTATTTACTTTTGGCGTTGAACTCTCAGGGTTATATTTAAGGATCCCTGACGTAGGATTTCCAAGTTGTAATGAAGTACTGTATTAAATAAAGGATGGATGGATGTTGTATTATTTAATGTTCCTTTCCTGTCTAAATTCTTTTATTTCCATCATTTTGTATTCCATGCTTGTATATTGCCAATTGTTTTTGATATCCCTCGTTTTTCGTGTATAAGCCTGATCAACTTATGCGTGGAAAATGTGGGGGTGTTACACACCACCTTACCCACAATCTATTTGTGTCTTCTTTGAGAATGTCCCAAATGAATCCGATTATTCTAGCCTTGTTTGCAACCTCCAAATTGGGGATCCCCAAACCACCTGCAGATTTAGGACTGTACACCCTACTCCAAGCTACCTTAGAACCTGAAGACTTCATTTATGGCCCTGACCACAGAAATCTCCTAAAAATCTTGTTGAGTTCATCAATTACTCCCTTAGGCAGAATGAAAATGTTGCACTAGTAGTTTTAAGTTGACACCAACACTGAATTTATCAATTGGAGTCTACCTGCATATGAGAGAGATCTGGAAGTCCAGTTAGTGATTCTGTGAGTGATTCTGCTTACCAACAAACTGCAATGCTGAGACTTCAAATTTGTAGAAATCAATGGCACTCCAAGGTATCTCACTGGTAGTGTGCCTGATTGAATACCTAGCAATGTAGAAATTTGATGTTGAGTGTGGTCATTTACACCAGAAAAATAAACCCCACTCTTTGATAGGTTGATGTCTAGGCCTGACATAGAGCAGAAAAGATCAAGAGCTGGTTTGAGGCTTGAAATACATCATATGCACATGTATAACATGGTAACATCCGAGTCACACAATTATATTATATACAACACTTTTTTAAAAAGTTATAAAACATATTTATGTCCATAGTACAACATCCATCATTATGTTACATTGTCTTGCATTTTGCAACGTTGTAGCACTATTTCGACGACGGTGAGGCTATGACTAGGTCGTAATTTCGGTTGTGGATTTGGGTCCTTTCAATTCTCAGCGATTCCGGCAAAATGCAAAATGATTAGGATTGGTATCATGGTTTGCGGGTTTCGCTATTGTGTGTTCAATGGGGGTTTATGGGTGGTGTTGTTTGGTTTTGGTTTTTGCAACAACAGGGTTAGGGATTGTTTGGTGAAAATTGGTTTGTTGCAGACTGAGTTGTAATGACTGATGGTGTGGTGACCCTATTCCAACGAAGATAAAAGTAGTGGAGGTTTTTGGGGCGATAAGGGATTTTTTTTTTTTTTTTTAACCAGAAGCAAGGCTGTGTGAAGTTCATTTTTTTTGGTTTGGTAGGTATTGATGGTAGGAGTAACAATATTTGACATGATAGACCAATACAACACAAACATGATTAATAATCGTGTTAATCGCGTTCGTATCGTAATTGCGTCAACGCGAATTGACTTGCTAACGTGTTTTGTTTGTGTTTGACCTTATAAATACGATTATAACACGTTTAACCCGATTAATTAAACGTCGTCGTGTCCGTGTCAAAAATGACTTAACATGTATTTTCGTATCATGTCAGGTTTTGTCTCATTTATTAAACAGGTTACGCTTGTCGTGTCGTGTTACACGTGAAATAATCGTGTCGTGTTCGTGTCAATGATTTTAGACATGATTAATAATCGTGTCTTATTCGTGTTGACCCTAATTGTGTTCGTGTTGTAGCTGTGTCAACACAAACACAACATTCCAACACACGAATTGCCATCATGCACAGAATTTGAGCAATTACACCTCAATTTCCATCTTTACATGTGTGGGAGTGTGTTTATATATGTATGCATATGTGTGTATGTATGTATGTATATATATATATATATATATATATATATATATATAAGGGGAAGTGTAGAAAACACCCCTCAAATATACTTTTAGTAGCACTTTTACCCCCTATTTGTAAAAGTGTACAATAAACACCTCTAATCTTTTAAAATTGTGCAAAATTAACCCTTTGCCAAAAATCTTACATAAATTATTACTCTAATACCCATTTTGCCCTTTTAATCTTCCGAAAATACCCATCATTCTCTCTCCTCTAGATGGCTGTCTTATATTGCCTCAGAGCAGGGGTTCATCTTCTCGCACAACAGTCAAACTGATCCAACGTCGATCCCGTTCCTTCACAACTACTAAATGGAACTCATCCTTAGGGCAAGATGCACCTTCCAAAAGGGGTCACCCCGCATTGCAACTATGGAAACAAAGTATCATCGTGGCCGGTTCTTTTCTTGAATTATTCGAGGTGGCAACAAAATTCATACCGATCAATCCTATAACCCGTGTAAAACTCAATCCAAGCTCTCCACAGCCGTCGCCCACAGTTCTTCGCAGAGGATGTAGACAGCCGGCGAGCAAGGAGAAGCTCGCACGGAACTAATGGAGGGCCGAGCTCTCCACGGTCGATCCTCACCGCCGCTTCCTCACTAGAAAAGGTGGATCCTTGCCGCAATTCTTATCGCCGGCGACGGCGGAACCGGCGAGCTTGGAGGGACTCTCGACGACGAACTGTGGTAGCTGACTTGGCAGAAACCGGCGGTGACAGGAAGGATTGAAGGCAGCTGTTATGATTGTGATGGTGATTGAAGCTTGTTGTTGAGTGATCTTCTCGGTGGTGATATGGTTTGCACAGAGCGGGGATTGAAGCTTTGTAACAATGTATTTGGAATTGATCCATTGATATATATAAATAATGAACTCTCTGCTGATGAATGACAAGAGAGAAAAAAATGGGTTCGAGAAACTGGGTTTGTAAAAATGCACTGCCACTACCCCCACAAACCCACTACGGCCACCACCACCCCACAACCACCAAGATGAAGCCCGTCTTCTCACCATTCTCGCCACCGTCCGTCCTCTTTGCAGTCGCTCCATCAAAGCCGAGCTTGCCGCTGCCTCCATCATCAATGCCGAGCTCGCCGTCGTTTACAGCTTAGAAGCTCACAGCCGGTCCATTCCGTCACCGCCCGCTGTGCCGTCTTTGCTCACCGGTGTTTCCAATGATGGGGTTCCTGGCTTTCACCGAAGCCGGCGATTGGGACTGTTGGAGGTGGAAACGGCGGGTGGCGAAAAATCCTTGGACACTTCAATCTTGATTTTGTTGTTGAGCTCTGCTAAATTCTCGATTGCATTTTGCAAATCAATTCTTGTGATTGGGTTGCTTGTGATCTGGGGTTGAGAATTCTGTTGAGATTTGGTGAGAATTTTGCAAATCAATATATATATGTTGAGAATTTTACGATTTGGCTTGCTTATGATCCGGCCGCTTGTATCACCGATTCCAGAAATTGGAGCTGTCGCAGTGGAGCCACGGCGGCCGGTGGTGCTCATGGATTCGCAGGACCGCATTGCAGAATGGTGTGCATCACTATTTATTGTCCTTTTTTGTCTTTTGACAAAATTTTGTATTTTTATATATTTTATAAAATTATTAACTAAGGGTATTTTAGTCCAATTTTGTTTTAAATGTGTCAAGGGACTTGATTGCACCAAATTGAAACTTGAGGGATGTTTTTTGTATAGGAGGGTGTGATATGCATTATAAGCATATTTGAAGGGTGTTTTTTACGCTTGACCCATATATATATATATATATATATATATAGACACACACACATATACATGTATGTATGTTTGTGCGAATTTGTAGCCAAAGTCCTTATTGCGATTGGAGATATGGAAGACAAAGGGTCGAGAAACTGTCATTTTGTAGCATAGTCATTTTAGATGTAAGAAATATTTGACATTTCTTAAAAGTGACATTTGAGTATGTGTGAAATATGAAACTCTTGTAAAATTAAAACCAAAATTGTATGAGATTTAACCTACTATGAGCCGTCACTGTAATTTACCTTAAAATAATTACATTACGCAGAGGATACTGATGGAATATCTTGCCCTTGAGACACATGGCGTGCCTTGTCGAACTTCAGAACATAACTCGAAACAAAAAAACAGAGAAAGAGGGGGAGGAGAGAGAGCCAAAAATTGCAGAGAGAAGTGGTGATGAAGGGTTTCGGAAGACTTATAGGGCGAGCCAATTTCTTCAGAAGATTGGAACGCTGTGCAGAAAACAGTGCCCGATACAAATCTCATCGCCTATTATTCGCTTATTCAGCAACGTCCATAGCAGCTTCTGATTTTACATCCCTCAGATCTTCATCTACCCCTTCTTTACACTCCTCCAAATGGCCTCATTTCGGAGGTTAGCTGTTTCACATTTCTCTCTATAAATTATATAGACGCATATATATATACACATATATATACACCAATCATTCACCGCCTGTTTGGTTGCTAACATAGTGAAGGTCTTGTATAAAATTTAAATAGGGACTTCTTAGGGTTTTTTTTTTTTTTTTTTTTTTTTTTTTTTTTTCAGGGCATTAGGGACTTCTATGGTATCAAGCTGACATCTTTGGGGCAATTTGTTTGTGTGTTTTCAACTAGTTTTGTTTGTAAACATTAAATAATGAACATGTCATGATTTGTTAAGTATTCTTGACATGCTTATGAATTAAGTTGAAAGTTTAGAGTTGCAATATAAAAAAAAAAAAAAAATTGAAGAAGAAGAAGAAGAAGTAATTGATGCTTTATGTTGTGTGCGCATGTTTATTTGTTTTATCATCCCTATAACTTCAGCTATAGCGAATGTTTCATCTTTTGATTCTGCTATGGATGGTACATGTTCATATAATTAAAAGCTATGGTAAAATCTTAGTTGTGGTGTAGTTATTTGAATAAAGAACTCGTGGGTGTACTAAATTTGAGGAAATATAGATACTTTTATGGTCTTGTTCTGACATATTTCTATGGACAGGGCAGAGGAGGACAATGTTTATCGAAACACAATCCACTCCTAATCCTTCATCTCTCATGTTCTTTCCCGGGAAGCCAGTTATGGAAGTTGGAAGTTCAGACTTCCCAAATGCTCGTTCCGCCATGAATTCGCCACTGGCAAGAGCTCTGTATGGAATAGATGGTGAGCTTCTTTTGTGTTCTAAATCTTTGCACTGCCATGATTGTCCGGGCTTCATTTTTATATAGTCATGCCAGCTTGTTTGTGCCACTTTGTTCTGATTGGTTTTAGCTTCTACTGGCCTTGTCAAAAGGTTTTGCCAATCCTTCCTCGGGTTGAAAATAAAATCAAGGAGCACACTATCCATGTTTCCCAAGGTTGGATCAATGGGGGTCCCTGGGATCTGAAAAAGGATCATAAGATCCTATAAAATGAGAAGGGGGAGGTGTGGAAGGGAAGACTAAAACAATACCCGTAATTGAAGAGATCTCAAGATATACGGAGAACAAGCCCCAAACACATTAAAATATAGGCATTCCATTTGAAGCATAGGGAATATGAATAAATGCATAAGTTCCCCATGCAATTGATATTGTATCACAAAAAGTAAAGCTCTCACATTGTGTGAGGTTGTGCATTGGAAACGAAGATACTGTTTATGAAGAAAGAAGGATGATAAACAGAAAAATATATCAATTTCCACAGACAAGAAAGAAACTGAACATGAAACTGTTCATGGAGAGAGAAAACTAAAGTTAAAAAATAGAAGGAGAAGACATTGTTTATACAGAAGGCAATGACAACTGGCAATGGGAACCCTTCATGAAGAAGAGAGAAATAAGAGAAACAGTCACCAATGTTCAGAAAGAAAGACAACTAAAAGAAACAAGAGAGAAAGTAGACAAGTAGCATAACTGAGAAACAGTACACTGTTCATGAAATAGGCGCTGCTCGCGAAGAAAGAAATATGTAAAAGGCAGTGTGAAGAAAGAAAGAAGAAGTAGCACAAAATAAGAAGAAACAAAAGCTCATGAATTTATCAAGAAAATTTACACCACAAAAGAAAAATGCAACAAGATTAACATAGAAAATTAATCAAAGCTTACGAAACTATAATGTATAATCTTTTAAATTAGCCGAAGACCTGGATAAATCACTTGCTGGTTCAGTCATTTGGTCACTGCTTTCTTGTCTCTTATTGCTGCTTACATGTAAAATGTGATTGAGTCCTAACTTACTGATTTTAGGGCTATTGTTCGTTTATGGGCCTTATGGCTATAATAAGATGTTGAATTGGTGGTTATATGTTGAGTTATGGTTTTGGATTTTGTTAAATCTTGGACTAGAGGCCCAAAAAAAATAATAGACTTACGAAAAAGAAGAGAGAGAAAAAAGAAATTCCTTACAACATGGATCATTTAGATCCTTAATGGGACTGCATCACAGCGTCACCATGATCCCGAACGATCCATGATGATATCACTAAGATCCTACTCTTTGCGATTTCTTATACACCCAGATTGATTTGACAAATTTAGATTGTAGGATTTTGAGATCCTTTGACGGATTAGGTTTGTACACATATTGCTTCGCGGCACCTTCAATTATATTTTCCTAAAGGTTTAGTCTTTACGTGTTTTTTTTGGGAGAGAGTTTGACCAAAATGTTTTAGGTTGCATTTTTCAAAAGACTCAAATACAGATATTAATGAATATATTTGTATGCCAAGATTTGATAGCATGGAATTTTTTAGTGAAATTGTACATAAATTTAAAAAGAGACAAGAACATATGCGCAAGGCTCCTAATATTGTAATCAAAACCCAATATCTATATTGTCATTTATAGGATCTAGATAGTGAAAAATCCAATTCACAATCATATCAGATGCATTTATAATAAAAACATGATTCTTATGTTGTTCGTTTCATTCATATGTAGCAAGAGATTGAAATACTGCAGTCATTTATTTGAATTGTTCTAAATGTTGGCTGTACCATTTTTTAAATTTATTTAATGAATAAGATTTTTTATGCTCAGTTATTCCACTCAACCATCTTACGAATGTCCTCATCTCTGATTTTATTTTTTCATGTTTTGCTACTAACATTCATTTCAGCGTTGTTATTTATGCTATTCTCTGCTCTTGATAAAATAGTTTTGATGTTGCTGACTATGTCGGTTGAGATAGTGTACAACAGATGATATGATCTAGAGGAGCTAACATCATTATAATTTGTATGGTATTTTAATATCACATTATTCAAGTGCAAACAATGATATAAAACTCAATATCTATAGTATATCTGTGGTCAAGTTGATTAAAAATAATTAGAAGTTGCAGTTTTCTTGTTTTGGACCACTATTCTCATGGCATGTTGCTTTTTGTCTCCAGCTAGCAACACAGTTCTTACTGTTACTGAATCTGCTTGGAAAGCAGATAACTGGTTTGACTGCGGAGCTTTTTGTAGGCTGAACACTTTATATGTGTGTGTATATATATGTATTAGATTTACTCTAAATTCTAACTTCTTGAGGTTTTTCCCACACAAGCTATCTTCCTCCAATACTATTAGGAGCTGAGGAGTGAGGACATATCTTACTCGTTTGTTATCTTATTTTTGGGCAAGACATGAAAATAGACCACAGCAGATTGCTATTGTTCTTTGCCGTGTGCTTCTTTTTTTGTCAGTGGAACTGAAGTAGGCCTCATGTGCATATACGGCTTTCAAAGAGAAAAGGATATGAAAGCAAAGAAGAAAACAGCGAGTAAGACCGGCTTTCTAGCCTTCTACTCCTGAGCGCTTATTTCCCCACAGCTGACAGGCCATAAATTGGCAAATGAAGTGAGAACATGGACATTAGAAAAAGGTTCTAGTTGACGATTCCTCAAGGGGTACGTGCCGCTGAGTGACTTTCTCCAGATCTAGACATAAACTTCCACTTTGATGGTAGATTGGTGGTTTGTTTGGGAAATGGAATGAAGTTTTTGGTTCTGTCTGAGGAGCAGACAATGCTTAAAATTAAAAATGAAACAACAGATTTTTTTTTTTGTGAAAATAATTAGGCCATAAAGTAAATAAAACACACAAACACACCATCTAACACATGTAACATAGCCTAGGTAGTCAATACAGGTGCCATGGGCAAATCATTGGGGGAGTATGTCTTTGATACTGGTTCTAGTAACTAATTTCTACCATTTCTCTAACTCCCTGAATTAACCAGGTCATCAATTTAACCTCAATTAATAATGTTCAATTACAATGGCTTTATTTAATCTTATTTTTTGTTTTGGTGGTGATGAGCTTGCCTAATCTAATCTCTTGCTGATACAGGAATTACTCGTGTTTTCTTTGGATCAGATTTTGTAACTGTAACAAAATCAGAAGATGCATCCTGGGATTTCCTAAAACCTGAAATTTTCGCAGCAATCATGGACTTCTATTCTTCTGGTAACCCACTGTTTCTGGACTCAAATGCTGCAGCTTCCAAGGACACAACTATCCATGAAGTACTTCTTCAATCCTTTGTTTCGCTTTGTTTTTGTTTTTCGTTTTGCATTTGTTGACACTTTAGTTATTGACAATATCAATGGACTTCTGCTGGGCTGCCCCTCCAACCCCAAAATAGAAAACCACACACACCAAATAAAACAAAGAAGAAAGATTTCTTTTGTACATGCCTCAAGGTGTAAGGTACATGCTGCCTGCCTTGGGCTAAACCTTTGTGCCTGAAATTTGAACTTTCACACTACCAAATGGAGAGGCTTTTGATCAGTTGGCTTTTAATTTCAGTTATTAGTTTTCAATTATTTAATTCATTAATTTATTTGCATGATGGAAGGAATTTTAAGGTTTGTCATGGTTCTCTCTCATGCGAACCTGCAACAATGCGCTTCTTTTGCCACAACTTGCAGGGCATATGCTAGCTTATCATACAATATGTATTTCGTATCATAAGTTACAAGCACCCTAAGAAGCATGGATACTAACACGGGACACAGACATACGCTGACACGGGTACGCTGACACGTCAAATTCTAAAAAAGTAGGACACAAACATGGCATGGACACGGCTATATAAATATAAATAGTCATTCCCATATCTATTGAGTAAGACAATTACCGAACTTTAATTTATTTATAATTTTATACTAAAGTTGCATGAGTTCGAAGATGAAGCTATTCGGATATCAAAAAGAATATATTATATTATATGTGATGTTACTCTCCTATTGTCACTATAATTTTTTTGTTCACGATATACTGTGATACATGTTGAATGTCAATTTCTTTAAAGAAAAAGAGGTTGGTCACTTTGATTTATGTTCATAATGTTGTTTCCAAGACTGTCATGTGTTTGTTTTATATAAGACAAAGAGTGTAGGATGTGTTGGTCGAGTATTCAGAATTTGTTGACCAAGTGTTTGAGACAACCAAGTGTCCAAGATGTGTCGGCCAATTGTCTAAAATAATAAAAATTATTTTTAAATTATAGACACGGCCATGAAGTGTCGGACACCGACACTTCGTACCATGTCAAACACAGACACAGTACGAAGTGTCGGACACGGACACAACACCTTTGTAGAAGTGTTTGTACTTCTTAGCAAGCACCACATCACATGTTATGATGTTTCCTAGGATACATAACAAAATGTGTCACAAGACATGAGCTCGCCATTGCCCTGCAAGGTGATAGCATTGTATGATAAAGTGCTAACAACATAACTCACTTTCTCTAGTTCAATAAGATAAAATGTTAACAAAACTCACTTGTTTCTCCAACAGTCGTCAAAACTATAGTCACACATCCATCATACATATCACTTTTCTCTGACATTCATAGAAATTCACATTGAAAAATCGATTATCAATCTTTGATCAAAGAATGCAATGCTAGTTATGCAACAAAGTAAGTTTGACAATAAACTAGTATCTCCAAATGTTAAAAAAAAAACTAAGGCATACAGTAACGCTTGGATCGTCGATAAGGAGTTCCTCATAAGTGGTGGTGATATTATAAGCTAGTGACTGGTAAAATGGTGTGCGGCTACAATAGAGCATGGAGATATTTAGAGGTCGTTTCTACCCTCCTTGAGGAGGTTTGGGGCTGGATTGTAAGGTTAGGGATGTTATCTACTTTTTCTCAGAGACGCTTTCTTTGTTTTTTTTTTCTTTTTCTCCTACTTTATCATTCTTTTTATTATTATTTTTATTCCATTTAGTCTGTGAAGTTTTTTTTTTCCATCCTTTTCTATCTTGTATTTTCACATTCTTATTAAGATATTGAGTTGTCCCATCAAAAAAGGAAAATGAACTTATTGATATTCACATGTTAGGAGGATTACAATGGATGCAAGGAACTGAGATTTTTATTATTATTATTATTATTTTTTTCTTCTTGAGTGTGTGTGGGGGGGAATAACATGTGTTTTGATATGCTTTATGGAATTGGTTAATAGGGACTGGTGAGAGGGAAGTTGCATTGTGCTGTAACAGTTTTGGAAACGTCAAGTTTTGTTGTGTGCTCTGCTGTATCATGTTTCTTGGGTGTAGGCCTTCTTCATTTTCTTGGAAAGGGTGTTGGAAGATCCAAGTGTCTTTAAAAGTATTATTCTTAGCATGAACATCCTTGCTTGAGAAAATATTGATTATGGAGAAATAGACAAATAGGAAGAAAAATCTCATCCATTGGTGTTTTATGTGTACGGGAGCTGAGGAAATAGTTAATGATTTATTGTTGCATTTCTCAATGGTGGGAGTTGTGGATTCTTCTTCTGTCTCTCTCTGGAGTGCTGTGAGTGATGGCAGGAGTGATTGTTGACTTGTTACAGCCCTGACAAGGGGTTCAGGTGGATGGATGCAAGAAGTGATCTTTGGAGACCTATCTCTCTATGCTTCTTTGAGTGCATATGAGGTCCTTTGAGGAGGAGAAGACATTGCATAAGCCAAGCTTCTTTTTTTTTTTTTTTTTTTCTTTGTTTTCTTTTTCCAGTAGTATATTTTTATGGATCTCTAGGAGACTGAATCATTAGATAGTCTTTTGTCAAGTGCCTGGGAAGTTTCCTTGCTAATTTTGTAGAGTGTCCTTTGTTTGGCTTTTTGTTCCTTGTTATATGCCCTGCGTAGATTTGTGCCTTCTTGGCGGTTACTGCTTACAGTAAATTATTCTTACTTATCCCAAAAAAGAGGCATCATGATTAGAATTATTTATTTATTGCTAATATATTTATCATTTATTATTTTTTTTATTTTTATCTTTTGTTAGAATTTGTAATTTTTTTTTTTGTTGCAATTAATGATGAAGTAAGATTATGCTAATTTGACGGTGTCATGCCTTCTGAGATCTGTTTTTTTGGAAAAATAGTCCTGGATGCATCGGGCGTTTCAAATGACTGCCGTTCTAATGTTATATATAAGTTCATCCTGAAATCTTGTCCAAATCATAGAGTTCAACATGTTAAACTCTTTTAAGTTTTCAGTTATGATACCTGTGCCACGTGCAAAAGGAACACCTAATTTTTATTTTTGTTTCTTCCAAAAATTTTATGACCGATAGATTTTTCCAGTTCTTGTTTTAATGGATAAAAGCTCGTGGGAGGAGGACAAGTATCATCTATGCCTCTTGCTTGTTAAACCTGTGCCTACAGGTTTCATTTATAGAATTGAATTTTTTTTGGTTCCGGTAAGAATCAAATAAAGAAGATAAAATTTCAATCATTAGTATTGGAGCAGTGGTAACTTGAATATAACGCTAAAAAAAGAGGAAAGTTTTGGCCAAGTAGTTTATCATTCTATTCTGAAATATGACTAATAGCCTTTGTTAATATCCTTTAATGAAGATATGGTTTATGGTGTACTTTTACAATTAAATTATTAAAAAAAAAAAACGTATGTTGCAGATACTGAATTACAGAGTGGTAAACAGATACTCTTGTTTATGCTTTTGTTGGTGAAAGCATGAATATCTATCATGTCCAACTTACTAAGATTATGGCGAAGATGAGCTTTACTCTTATGCAAAAAGTCAGCCATTGGTGTTCGCTTTCCTGGTCTCAACGTTTTGTATTTTGTGCTACTATCTTATGAATGACATTTTAACATAAATGGGCCATGTTGATTTATACAAATGACCATGATGGATGTATGATTATTACCTGAATGTGTTATTGGAGTGTATTTTGTTCCCAATATTCAAAATCAAAGAGAGAAACACAAAGTTGAATAATAAGCAACCATTTTGCATGTCGTAATGCTGATTAAATTTGAGCAGAACTCGTGGCTTGCAAGTACATGAAAAGAATGTGGCAGGCTAAACAAAGTTAAATCAGAGACCCAACAGTTGGAACTTGGATTCTAGTGCATTTGATTGCAAATATTCAATGATCACATGCATTATTCAACGGCATGCAAGTCCTAGAGGCGCGGCCATCTTTCTCATGCTTGCTATTGCAGGATGATTCAGAAACTGTTGCAATGATCAAAGAATTATTGGAGACTCGTATTCGACCAGCAGTGCAAGATGATGGTGGGGACATCGAGTACAGGGGATTTGATCCGTATGCTTCTCCTCCTTTCATCAGAAGTATTTGTTGAATGTTGGGGACATAATTGTGTAACATCTTTACTTTTGGCTTGGCCTAATTTAAGTTTTTATGTTTTCTTTCCTCAGAGACACTGGAATAGTCAAACTTAGAATGCAAGGAGCATGTAGTGGCTGCCCTAGTTCATCTGTCACTTTGAAAACTGGCATTGAGAACATGCTGATGCATTATGTACCTGAGGTATGGCCATTAATCTGAATCTTTAAACTTATTCCGTTATCATCATAGGTTGGCCCTTGTACGGTTGTACCATAAAGATAGAGAACATCATTTAGACAGTCTTTAAGATTAGACCAGATCAACAATTCACAACTAACATAATTTCAAGTTTGCAACTCTGTTATTGACTACTGTTGAAGTAGTTACAGAAAAATAACAGTGGAATGTGAATACACTCTTTACCATCCATCAATCAGGATCTTCAGTTGGTTCTTTACCTCTTTACCATGTATACAAAAATGTGGTATATATCTAGGTGCTCATTATTTTGTAATTTGCAGTCACACGTCATTTGCACATTTTTAATATTGCAATTATTTTTTTGGGCACTTTACCCTAAGTTTTATGATATATTTTGTTATGTCATATTTGGTTTGGATTAATAGGAAAAGTAAGAAGCGGAGGCCAGATAGATATTAAATCACGAGGAATTTCTTATCTGGGTCCTTTTTGAGCTTTGATTTTATATTTTCGCTCTCAAGTCATGTTTGCTGGAATATGTTGTGGGAGTTGAATGTTACTTCCTGTGGCTGGGTGGAACTGGATGATGCTTGTGCTCCCGTTACAATGATGATGCATAATGCTTTATTAGAAGAGGCATTCTGGGGAGTCATGAATGAAATTTTTACTGGTTTCAAAAAATATTTTTGCATGAATCTCAATTTGTCATTCTGTTCTCAACCAAAAACCTTCAGGTGAAATTTTTGTTTTCACCTTGCACCTTTTGTATTTTAACCATCAAAAACTTGTAGCCGTAACATGCGTGAAAAGATTGTAGCTAGCTAGGATGAGTCTTCTTGGTTTTAAATGCAGCTACTTTTGGAGCAGACTATTAGTGTGAGACCTAGTGACGAGCCAGTCAAACGAGGAAGCGTGATTGTAGTAGAAGGTAGGAGACGGAAAGGGCGGCAAAAAATAACGCGGGTACGAGATTATTAAAAATGATTTAAAAAAATTAAACATAGTGAGTGAGTTGGCATGTAATAGAAAAGCTTGGAGAGAGAGAATTCATGTGGCCGGCCCCATTCTTATTGGGTTAAGTCAAGGATGATGATGATGATGAAACTATTAGTGTGAGAGTTCTAACGGCCTCCTTCTGGAAGTTTTATTATTGAACATCACGGGAACCCTGTGATTTCGGTCCATGCATTTGGGCTTGTATGTGCATATGAATAGCCAAATCTGGGTGATTAGTTTTGACCATCCAATCTCCATTTCCGTTTAGGGTAGTGTGTACTCTGTCACTTCAATCACTGTATATGGTATGGTTTTTCAGATTTACATTCACGAATCAATACCACTGCATTTTCTTTTGTCAGCCCTTGTCATGCAGACATGCATATGATTCCAGCCTAATTTCTGTGTTGGTGGAACTGTCTAGTGGGATCCTCTCCTCTTTCTGTTCTGTCTGGTTTACCAAACCTGCTGTCTTTACAGGTTAAAAGCGTGGAACAGGAACTCGATGCTGAAGATGAAGAGGCAACGTTAACTGGGCAGGTTTGATTAGTTGAATTTACAATCATGTCAATTTCCAAAAAACGAAAAAAAAAAAAAAAATTAGAATCTACGTTTTGCGAATGATATGTAGATAAACAGTGAAATCAAAGAGGAATTTGCTACGTACCCTCTGCTAATGTATATATTGTAAGTCCATCCACTTCTTGTATATAATTATATATTGGTTAAATCTATGAGAGACTGATAATTGCACTAATACGTGATATAAACATGTTATCTTTTGTGGGGCAAGCGCTTCAATAAGAGTTCATATATATTTATATTGCATAATGGTGTTGAAATTTATGGGTTTTCTTTTAAGAACTTTTGTTATTTAGCCAAAGACTTCTAACCTAGCTGGTAAGATGCCTCCTGATGGCTCTTTGGAGAGCATGGGTTCGAGTCTTGGCCCCAATTATCCCATAACATTTACCCTTCAGGAAAAAAAAAAAAAAAAAAAAAAAAAAACCTTTTGTTATTTACCTGTCTCTTTTATTTATTTATTTTGACATGGTACAATTCTCTGTTATTGACTGGATATTGGAGTGATCGCCGGTTGAAATATTATTTCGCTAAAAAAATGTTTGATATAAGAAGGATATGTGCAAAGGGTTTTTAGCGATGGGTTCAGACTTAACATGTTTAAGATTAATTATCTGACCCTAGCAAGATAATGACTTGTATTAACTATGTGTTGAAAAATAGTTTGTATATGTGCATTGTCTTTTGTATTTATGTGGTTGAATATTTTTGTATTGACGCAAACTCCTCTGAATTTTTTAAATAGTTATGGGACTAGTATCTTTTTAATATGAATTAATAAATTAGAGAACCTTTGTCAATAAGCTCTTCCCACAAGTCCTCTAGAGCTCTGGAAATCCTCCCCCAAACAGAGGGTTCTTTATTTTCTCAGTTTTTGTGCATTAGGGGAGAGAAGGATTTTATAACGAGTAAAGGTTCGACCAGATTATATTTGCATACTAATATTTTAACAAGGCTACCTGTAAGGCCACGCATATTTGACCTTCCCCTTCTCTTGGTAAAGGAAGGAGTTTTTTGTTTTCTTGTTTTTGTTTTTGTTTTAATGAATGGTTTTACATGGTGACATGCGATTGTCTTGTGCTCTGTTTGATAGAAAGAAAGACAATTGAATAGAAGAAAGAAAAGAAGAGATAAATGAGGTATCTTTAGGGAAAAGATGGGTAATTTCTCTTTGGATGAGACAAACACCTTATTTTATTTGTTAGAGAGAATAGGAGAGAGATTGCTAAAATTGAGTTTATTTGATAATTATAGGTAGTATTGTAATTTAAATATTTTTATGAAGTCTTGCTTCTTTTCCTTCTTCTCCAGTCCAAATTTGAAGGGATGAAAAATTTGTGAAACAAGAAGGATGGCTTATTCATCATTTTTTTTTGTTTTCTTCCTCCCTTATTTTCTCTCAACCAAAGGAAAGAAATTTGTATTTTTTCATCATATCTTCTCTCCATCCTATTCCTTCCTTCATACCAAACATCTAACCATTTGGTGTCACATTAAAAATTACAATAATGTCAATTATATCATTAAAAAGATCATTAGTTCTTCACCTACCATCATAAAAATAACCATTTGGTATCACATTAAAAATTAGAATAATGTCAATTATATCATTAAAAAGATCATTAGTTCTAGTTGTTTAAATAATGCATTCAATATTTGGGAAAAAGAGAGAAAAAAACAGAAATGGAAGAAAACAAAAACTACCTTAACAAAAATAAGCTCGGTACAAACTCAGTTTTTTAAATTTTTTTGACCTAGTTGTTTTTATCGAGCAGGGTGTGTTAGGACCTTTTTTGACTTTTGTGTCGTGGACATGGTTCTATAACTTTTTTGTAGTAAAGTTTGGAATGTGTAACGAGAGACACTGAGAAAAAGAGAGAGTGCGCTACAGTTGGAAGGTTGAAATTTGTTATCTCTTGTTTTTTGTATAGTGAAATATTTTGTCGATTTTTTACCATAGCCGCAAGGACGGACCCAGAAAAATATATGAGGGGACTATCTTTAAAAAAAATTATCGTGGAGGGTCAATAGTGGAGTTTTTCTTTAATTTCAGTGGGACAAACTCAAATTTTTTGAAGTATATAATTCGAAAAAAGCTAAAATTAGTGGGTAAAATAAAAAAAAGAAAAAATTTCAGTGGGGTCAATTTCTCCCATAGATTCGTGCCTGCATAGACGTACACTAAAACAGCCCGAAAAATAGTGAGAGAGAGAGAGAGCGCTAGGGTTTAGATGTTAAAACTTGTAATCTTTTGTTCTTTGTATGGAGAAAGTTTTTATGGAATTTTTATTATAGACGTAGATTTACGTAAACCTTTTTAGGGTTAATTTCATTAACATCTCTTTAGATTTGGTCAAATATCACATTGAAACACTTTTCGTTTCGAAAATTACTATCATTAACACCCCAAATCAATTTTCGATCATTGACACCGTCAGAATAGGTGTGAAATAACATTTTTATCATTATTTAGCCTTTTAATCTAAAATATCATAATTGTATAAGAACGAAATTACCCCCAATAATTAATTATCCACGACACCCTCACTCACACTCATACTTTCTTTTTATCTTCATACGTGGGCTACCTTTCACCACCATGGTTAGTTGTTATGAAATAAGGATCGAATAGAAGTTTACGAGAACAAACAGAAAAATTAATGACAATAAAATAAATAATGCACACATAAATGAGATAAGAATTTACATGGTTCGACTATGCCTATATCCATAAAGAAATGACAAAATAATATTTCACTATCGAAATAAAAAAATACAAGATAAAGTGACTCACATCCAAAATTTAATTACACCCAAACTCTCTCTCTCTCTCTCAGTGATACTCATACACTCAATTGATACTAATACAAACTCAAACTAATAATCTCAGATGCCTTTCATCAAATGTGTGCAAGGTTATATATGGTCCAAAAATACTAGTGATACTTATACACTCACTCAATTGATATTGATACAAACTCAAACTAATAATCTCAGGTGCCTTTCATCAAATGTGTGCAAGGCTATATATGGTCCAAAAAATACTTATATACTCACTCAATTGATATTGATACAAACTCAAACTAGTAATCGCAAATGCCTTTTATCTAATGTGTGCAAGGCTATATATATATATATAGTCCAAAAATACATCGTGTCGTATATTTCAAAGCTTTCACCATCACAGTGTCAAATGAGCTCACTGATTACGCATCTACAACTGTATTTGCTTCACTAAAAGTTGGCATTGTGAGGCTCGATACAGCTATATACGACATATCCATGAAGCCGAAAAAGTTGACCAAGGAAATTGCCAACTAAGCGCATGCATGCAGAACTTTGCAAAGGATGACTGGTGCAAGCTGGCAATCTCAATTTTGAGCCACATCATTTAACACTAGTTGAATACATTATCAACATGAGACTCATAATAGAAAAACACACAAATAAATAAAATAAATATACCCTTTATATAAATATATACACGCACAAGCACAAATTACTCTAATTTTTCAATCATCAAATCTATTGTGCTCTTTAATAAATTCATTTTTCAAAAAAAAAAAAAAATATCAATTCAGTTTGAATTTTGAAGTGGTTTAAATTTTTTATTTTTATTTTTGTAGTGATTTAGGTGAATTTTTTTATAATGTGTATGAATAGTTTGATCGTAATATTATATAAAACAAATGAAATATGTTACTAAAGTTCAAGAATAAAAAAATTTAACTAATAAAACTTTTTGTTAATATGAATATAATGCATTATGCAAGTCCAGAGGTTAAAAAAGCATTATAGTACCAAAAAGAAAACCAACTATGCCTGGTGTGAATTAATTAATTTGCTTAATTGTTCTTATATTCTTATATTCTGATTCTTCCAAACATAAATTTCTAAAAACTTTTGCATCAAAGAAAAAAATTAACATAGGACAATAAGGAAACATTTTTCTTAAAATAGGAAAAATCTACAACAAACCAAAAATCTAAATCAAATCTAAATCTGCATAAATGATTTTTTCTCGGTGGCATATTTGATCATACAGAGCAAAATATTATTAAAAAAATTACATTGAAGCCAAAATAGAGAAATAGAGAAGCAATAATAAGTGGAAAAGGTAAAATTTGCGATGTGTATTTTGGTCTTTTAAATAACTTTATTTAGGGTAAAAGGGGTTTTTACAAAGTCAAATGGGTGTCAATGTCATTTTACATAAAGTAATTTTTGGGGTCTAGGTGAAAAATTGAACAAATGTTTATAATATAAGTGATAGTAATTTTCAAAAGGTGTTTCAATATGATATTTGGTCGAACCTGAACGGGGTTTAAGTGAAACTAATCTATCTTTTTATTATTTATATATATTTTTTATTATGATTCTTAATTTATTTATTTAAAAAATGTGGAACAACCCAATTTAAAAAATATAAAAAGAAATAAATAAAAGAAGTTGTGATTAAATCAGATGTTTCCGTACAAATATAAATAGTAGGACAGCAAAAAAGTGAATTAAAAGAGAACTTGATCCTTTCTTATCCTCAGAGACACTAGAATAGTCAAACTTAGAATGCAAGGAGCATGTAGTGGCTCATTGAGAACATGCTGATGCATTATGTACCTGAGGTATATATGGCCATTGATCTGAATCTTTAAACTTATTCCGTTATCATCATAGGTTGGCCCTCGTACGGTTGTACCATAAAGATAGAGAACATCATTTAGACAGTCTTTAAGATTAGACCAGATCAACAATTCACAACTAACATAATTTCAAGTTTGCAACTCTGTTATTGACTACTGTTGAAGTAGTTTCAGAAAAATAACAGTGGAATGTGAATACTCTCTTTACCATGCATCAATCAGGATCTTCAGTTGGTTCTTTACCTCTTTACTTTGTATACAAAAATGTGGTGTATATCTAGGTGCTCATTATTTTGTAATTTGCAGTCACACGTCCTTTGCACATTTTTAATATTGGGCACTTTGCCCTAAGTTTTATGATATATTTTGTTATGTCATATTTGGTTTGGATTAATAGGAAAAGTAAGAAGCGGAGGCCAGATAGATATTAAATCATGAGGAATTTCTTATCTGGGTCTTTTTTGGGCTTTGATTTTATATTTTCGCTCAAGTCATGTTTGCTGGAATATGTTGTGGGAGTTGAATGTTACTTCCTGGGACCGGGTGGAACTGGATGATGCTTGTGCTCCCGTTACAATGATGATGCATAATGCTTTATTAGAAGAGGCATTCTGGGGAGTCATGAATGAAATTTTTACTGGTTTCAAAAAATATTTTTGCATAAATCTCAATTTGTCATTCTGTTTTCAACCAAAAACCTTCAGGTGGAATTTTTGTTTTCACCTTGCACCTTTTTTATATTTTAACCATCAAAAACTTGTAGCCGTAACATGCGTGAAAAGATAGTAGCTAGCTAGGAAGAGTCTTCTTGGTTTTTAATGCAGCTGCTTTTGGAGAAGTAGACTATTAGTGTGAGACCTAGGGACGAGCCGGTCAATCGAGGAAGTGTAATTGTAGTAGAAGGTAAGAGATGGAGAGGGCGGTAAAAAATAAAGTGGGACGAGATTGTTAAAAACGATTTAAAAAAAAATTAAATATAGTGAGTGAGTTGGCATGTAATAGAAAAGATAGGAGAGAGAGAGAATGTGATACCCCTTAATTTTCACGTGTAGGTTGGCCAGGTCCATCCCCGAAAATACGAGAATATCAAAACAATTTAGTATTTAAATGAACCCAGAATACAAGAAGAATAAAAAAAATGAATAAATCGCTGAACGAAATTCTATTAATAAAATAAAACCTCCTTGACAAAAATAAATTCCATGAAGTTAAAATTCTAAAATATAACTCGGGAATCCTATAAGTTAAGGACCTCTAAACCATAAACTATTAATTCACCAGATATCTAACAATAAATAACAATACTAAAAAGTAAACAAGATGAGTAGATGAATGACAGTCTCTCAGCTGCGGATCTTCAACCTCGAGATTGGAACTTCTAATAACCTGAAAAATAAATCGTGGGTTAGACCCACGAGCAAGTTCCCTCTACTAAGCCTCTAAAAACCAATAAATAAAACATCTCTAACCAAAATCATCCTAATTAAAGTTTTAACCTTTAATATAAGATGATACATATATAATATATAAAGAACATGTTCATTCATATATTTCTTGAAATCCAAGATCATAAACAATGATAAGACTACCTCTATATTTAAACTAACCATCAAGTACATTCCACTTTTAAAAAAAAACTCTTTTAAACCTAAATTCCATATTTAAACAGTTATTTAACCATTTAAATAATAAATAATAATCCAAGGAATATTTTCCTTTAATCCAAATCCCAATATCCAC